ATAGTCCCTCAGCACCAATAACCAGAGTATTAAGAGGCTGTATCATTACCATAATATACAAAGCGTTCTCCCAGCTCTTGTTGAAAATTATTTCTGTGAAAATATGTGGTATGTCGTCTACTATCAACAGCAACAGTGTTTGTTTATTCATCATCTACGTATACGCCAAATGATGCATGCTGTAGCGAATAAATAGAAGTTTTTAAAAACTTTTTTATAGTTTTGATAAATAAAGTTTTTCTGTATTAACAGCATATACTCTCCTTCCTCCACTATAATGAGACACCTATGAAAGTTTGGACGAATGCTATAGGTATATTAACAATCAGACATACTGCACATGAATTATTCCGAGTTTTTCAATTTGCAAGTAAATATCTTATCTTCTTGTAACAACAAAAATTTAAATTAATAGAGTTGCAGGTTACCCTTAGCGATTCAGTTAAATACTAAATTTTATCGCATACAATTACATTTAAATAACTTGGTGTAACTATTTTTTACACTTTTATTGCAAAATTTATTTTTGTAGCCCTTTCTACCTCTTTTCTATTTATATTGAACATAACGGTCAGGGAATACACTGCCTAAATAAAAGGTATTTTCCAACACGTTAAGTAAATGACTAGTGGTACGCCAACTCATACTTGTAGAAAAAATTTTTTCATGAAAATTTTTTTTTCAACTACACTGTAGACGATCTCTGGGTACAAGGTCGACAAGTCGTCAAGGATTATTATCCAATTACTCGATTTTGGTTTTTACATACTGCTTTAATCAGTGTCCTTCACCCTGACGATTTAGAGGTATAGTATTTTTTTATTAATAAAACTGATGAATATGTTAATTGAAACTATATATATCTAATGTTTTTAATTATTAAAATTAAACTTAGATTCTGCTCTCTAGTCAAAAAGCTATTGAAAAATATTATGTTTACTGGTATCTCCACTCTTGGTTGAAAACTGGCTTACTTACGAGTACAGGTGAAAAAAAAAAAAAATATCTATGCACAAGTAATTTTGAAAGCATTTACTGAATTCATTTGCTTGTTAATAGGTGAAAAGTGGCGAGAGAGAAGAAAAATCCTGACACCTGCATTCCACTTTAACATTTTGAAAAAATATATTGAAATAACAAAGGAACAAGGAGAAAAGTTCATTGACGAGCTCAAGAGCGAGGGACAAGAAACTGTGAAAAGCCTCATTCCATTTTTTTCGGACATTACTCTGAAAATTATCTGTGGTAAGATCATAGGAATTACTTAAATCGTGATTTTTTTTTTTTATGAAACTATGTATTATAATTTATGAAATTTATTACTCAAATTGTTTGACATTTTTACTTGCAGAAGCATCTATGGGAGTTGATTTAGATAAAATGAACCAGGAAAAAGTTGAAAAATACAAACAAGCAATACATGATATGGGGAAAATTGTGCTTTATAGGTATATATTTATTAAATGGTGCTTCAATTAAAACTTTTTATTTTTTAAAAATATTTTACGATACAAGAGTTTAAAACACAATTTTTTTACTGAAACAGTAGTTGAATTTTTCGAGTTGAGGATGTGTAACCAATCATTAATACCATGGCTGAATTTAATTTTAACATATACTTTTTTTCAACAAAATCAGAATACTTTCTTCTCTCTTGACTTCGAGTGTTTGAAAATGCGTAATCTTAACTACTTCATTGTGGAACGTAAAAGATTTTATTCATAACATTTTGCAGAGCGATGAGACCTTATATCGTAAATATTATTTTTCCTCACACGGCAATGGGAAAATTAAGTTCGAAATCTCTTGACGTACTCCACGAGTTCACAGATGAGGTAATTTATTTATATAGATTTTCAATCGATAAATCATTAAAAATAAAATCTACAAAATGAAATGGAAAAATCATTTAAAAATACATTCCTGATCTTAATTTTAATCAGTTTTTGTATCTATTTATGTAAAAGATTTTACAAAACTTTTTAAAATTTCTACAGGTTATAAAGGAACGAAAAAAATATCACGAAAGCAAAGGAAATAAGTTTTTAGATGAACACACTTACGAAGTGGAAGACACTGTATTAAATGACATTCACATGGGTAACAGCATTTATGTGCAACATTTTGTACTCATTTGTATAATTTAAAAAATTGTAGGTCACAAAAAAAGATTGGCTATGCTCGATTTGCTCTTGGCAGCTGAAAAAAAAGGGTTGATAGATGATACCGGAATAAAAGAAGAAGTGGATACTTTCACGTTCAAAGTAAATATTTTAAATGATTAACGTGCAAAATATCGTTTGGATTAGAACTGATTGTAGCTTAAAATTTTAATCAAGTGTCCGTTTGAACGATTAATATATATTTCATTAGGGTCACGATACCACGGCGATGGCCATGACTTTTATAGTGATGCAATTGGCTGAAAACAAGGAAGCACAAGTACCTACACTCATTTCTTTCCGTTTTCTCGTACATTTGGATTAAAATTGCAGAAAAACCTTACATCGATAAAAATGATGATTTATTCCAGGACAAAGCCAGACTGGAAGTGACCGAGATCATGAACAACTCCAGTGGCAAGCTGGGAATGACGGAAATCCAGAAAATGGAGTACTTGGAATGTTGTATCAAAGAAGCCTTGAGGCTGTACCCTCCAGTGGCCACAGTCGGAAGATACATATACGACGAATTACAATTAAGTAAAATTTGAAGTTTTATCTATTTTTCGAAGTCCATCTCTTTTAAAAGTTTAATTTACAATAATTTTTTCTCTATTTTAGAACATGCTCTTTTGCCAACCGACTCACACATAATGATTCATTTTTGGGATACCCACAGAGATCCGAATTTCTGGCCTGATCCTGAAAAGTTCGATCCTACGAGATTCACTCCTGAAAATTCTCGAAATCGACATCCTTTTTCTTATTTACCTTTCAGTGCTGGGCCTCGTAACTGCATAGGTTTTTTATTTTTATTATTATTTGTTTACTGAAAAATACAATGTATTGTTTTTTTAATGTTCATTTAATCGATTTTCAGGTCAAAAGTTTGCCATGATGGAACTGAAGTTACTAACGGCCCGAATTTTGTACGACTTTTACCTCGAGCCAGTTGATCGAACGGCTGACATGAAACTTATCGCTGATATGATATTGCGACCGCTCGATCCCGTTCACACAAAATTTATTAAAATAAAAAAAACCTAACACTTCTTGTGTTTTTCAGCAATTTTTTGATAGAGTTCCTCATTCATAAAGTGGCCTTATTTTGGTCTAAAAAAATTTGTAATGGCAAATTCATAACGGCTACTTAGTAAAATTATTCGTTTTTAGTTAAAAAAGTTTAGAAAGAACAACTAATATAAATATTGAAATGGTTCTGACTGTGGATGTTGAAACGAGAAGTTCAAATTAATTTGTATTAAAAAATACTCGCCGTAATGTTTTTTTAAGTTTTTCATTTGTTTCTCTTCCCACTGCGCTGAAAGAAGAAATTTTCTGCCGAAGAGAAAATACTATCTCTCGGCACGAGAATAGCAGAGTTGGTAAAAAATCATGTACAACCGGGAGAAAACAAAGAAAGCCTCAGATCACGTTCTTGTTACCCTCGGCTTCATCTCCGATGTCAAACTTTTCTGTGATCTGAGACATTTTGTATTTTTCCTCCCTAGTATAGGAGTGGAACATAAAATTTTAATAAATCAATTACAGCGAGTGATATGGCGATCAATATGTATTATTTGTCATGCGGCATTTATAAGGTCAGAAAATAACAAAAAAGATACTACCATATTGGGATTTTATTCCATTTAAATGGAACCACCCCACATTCAAAATCAAATATTAGGATAGTAAATTTACTTAGATTATTTATGCTTGATAGATGGATTCAGACAGATAAAGTGCCGTCACAGTAAGCAAAAGTACGGCGTCTTCATAGGCAATCTATTAACAGATGTTTCACTTTTAAAAGCTCCTTAAGAGGCCTTAAAAAAAAAAAAAAAAAAAAAAAAAAA